TCTTGGGGTTGTACTCATCATTCCTCTTCCTCCAAACATGACGAGTTTAAACCAAAAAGTTCTATTTTTGTCTCATCAGACCACATGACCTTCTCCCATTCATCCTCTGGATCATTCAGATGGTCATTTGCAAACATCAGACAGGCTTTGACATGCGTTGGCTTGAGGAAGGGCACCTTGCGCGCACTGCAGGATTTTAATCCTTGATGGCGTAGAGTGTTATTGATTGTTTTCTTTGAGACTGTGGTCCCAACTCTATTCAGGTCATTGACCAGGTCCTGCCGTGTAGTTCTGGGCTCATTCCTCACCCTCCTCAAGATCAATGATGCTTCACGAGGTGAGATCTTGCATGGCGCCCCAGACCGAGGGAGATTTTCCGTTATTTTGTATTTCTTCCATTTTCTTATAATTGCACCAACTGTTGTTGCCTTCTCACCAAGCTGCTTGCCTATTGTCCTGTAGCCCATCCCAGCCTTGTGCAGGTCTGCAATTTTATCCCTGATGTCCTTACACAGCTCTCTGGTCTTGGGCATTGTGGAGATGCTGGAGTGTGATTGATTGTGTGGACAGGTGTCTTTTATACAGGTAACAAGTTCAAACAGGTGCAGTTAATACAGGTAATGAGTGGAGAACAGGAGGGCTTCTTAAAGAAGAACTAACATGTCTGTGAGATCCAAAATTCTTACTGGTTGATAGATGATCAAATATTTATTTCACACAATAAAATGGAAATTAATTATTTAAAAATCATACATTGTATTTTTCTGGATTTTTGTTTTAGATTCCGTCACTCACAGTTGAAGAGTACCTATGATAAAAATTACAGTCTTCTACAAGCTTTGCAAGTGGGAAAACCTGAAAAATCAACAGTGTATCAAATACTTGTTCTCCCCACTTTAGCCTGTTTTCCAGAAGAACTTGGCAAACATGGATCCTATGCTCTGATGGGTTCTTGGAAAAAATCAAAATCTCATCAATGTGAACAAAAACAAAGACATTGAGGAAGTCTCTCAACAAGTCCTTAACAAGGGCCTGGAAACAAGCAGGGGCGTTAGTCAAACCAAAGGGCATCACCAAATACTCAAAGTGTCCGAGAGGGGTCTTGAAGGCCCCTCCTTGATGCGGAGGAGATAAGCGTTTCTTAAATCAAATTTCATGAAAACAGTTGCTCCCTGGACAGGCTCAAAAGCTGAGGACAAGAGGGGCAAAGGATACTTATTCTTTACCATGATTTGGTTCAGACCTCTATAGTCTATGCAGGGTCTCAGGGACTCCCAAATGTATTTCTCCATAGTTTCTCTTTCTGGTTTGGAGATATTATACAGACGGCTGCTGGGTAAGGGTGCTCCGGGAAGCAGATCTATGGTGCAATCATAAGGTCTGTGGGGAGGCAGAGACAAGGCTTTAGACTTGTTTAATACCTGAGCTAAATCATGATAATCAGCAGGAACTGAAGAGAGATCAGGAGGGTCAGCCTCACATCCTTCAGCCAGCCGGTTGAGCGCCAGCCTCACCACAGTAGAGACAAAGCTTAGCCCGCATGCGGTGCTGCTTCTGCTCAGGACTCAGTCTCGTGCTACCTATCTGCATAGGTTCAGGAGTGGAAGTACTGGAAACGCCCTCTGCTAAAGCTGAGTGGTTGGAAACAGGAAGAGGTTTGGGATGTGTAATTCTGTTACCTCTCTCGTTGGCTCGGGCTCGAATCCGGTTATCCAAGCGGATCAAAAGTTTTATCAGGTCCTCCAGCGTCTCTGGATCATCGAGAGTAGCGAGTTCATCCTTGATAGGATCATTTAATGCGTTTGAATACACACATTTGAGGGCAGCACTATTCCAACCTGAAGCAGCAGACAGAATGCAGAAGTCTATGGAGAAATCAGATACAAAGTTCTGTCCCTGTTTAAGCTTCAACAGATCACAGGAGCTCAGAGTCTTATCTGGGTTCTGATTAAAGGTCTGCTTAAACTCAGTGAGAAACTCCTCAAAGGAGCAACCATAATTGCTGCGAAATACACTGCGATATTTTAATCGTTGCACTCAGCTACAGCTCAAACCGTACGATGAAACCGCAGGGTTATAGAAGTTTACAGCTCACCATCAATGTTCTCACATTTTGGCCCAACGCTCGAATGCAACCTTAAGCCGGGCATACTCTGTACGATTTTTACCCTTTTCGGGCCGATTCTGTGCGAGAATTTTTCGATCGGGCCTAGTTTCAGCCTCCACGTCACCCTGCGTTGTGTAGCGTACACGGTGTAACGAGGGGCAATTAGCCTCTCACGACCAACCCCCCATTAAGGAATTGTAAGGTCCAGAGAAAATCAAACATGTTTGAAATTCAGTAGGATGTTGTCAGATATTTGCCGGCAAATCCTGCTGTTGAAGCAGACCTACGAGCCGATTTACCATAACCTTGAGCACTGCTCATGTGCAAACAAGAGAGTTCTTCTTCCAGATTGACGAGTCCGACCAGTGCCATCTTTCGGCACTCTGTCCAGCATGTGGTTTTTGGACGTACAGTTTGAGCAGGTATATGCATCAGAGTGTCTGGCTGCACATTTTGAGAACATGCATTGTGAGACGTGAACTTTAAAACCGTGTGGTTTCATCCTACAGTTTGAGCTGTAGCTGCTGCAAGGATTAATAATTTTTTGCTGTGTACAGCTAAGTAAATTTCAAACATGTTTGATATTCTCCCAACATTGTTATTCCTGATCAGGAGGTGGTCATGAGAGGCCAACCACCTGTACACTATACGACTCACAATCAGGCCGACAGTTGGCTCGATCGTAAAATTCTTGCACGACTGGAGAATCGGCCTGAAAAGGGAAAAAATAAAATAAAAAGTAGTGTATGCCCGGCTTTACATAGGATCACCATCATCTGGTCCCCAATTTTAAAAGCTCAAAAACTACAAGAGTTCATACAAAGTGGTTATTTTAAGTGGGGTTTTTTTTAGCATTCCAAGTCATCTAGAACTACTTCACAGAACTAAACCATGGAGGAAAAAACTTGACAATTTCTTACAAATATTCCACTGTTAAACATTTTCACAAAACTACAACAAAACATGAATTTGCCAACAGACGAACACAGAAGAATTAGCTCTAATTATGAAATAACATTTTTTTTATTTTGAAACTTTACAATTCCCAGGATTACAGTTCAGCATGATGAACCTGAAAGAAAACCCTTCCCTGAAAGAACGACCGAACACCAGAGTTTATACCAAACATGGCACAGGCATTTATTTTGACCAAAGCTTTTGAGTAACAGTTAAATGAGCATCAACCATTTCCATATCAGTGGCATTTATTAGAGGCACATAATTCATAAAACCCTGGTGCAGAGAGAGTACCACAGTTATAAACGAGTAAACTGAAATAGTACGCTGTAATAGCAGAACGGACATTTAAACAGCTTCTGGAGACGACAGGCCTTCTGACCTGAATAAAACAAATTTCTCTGTCATTTCGTGGGTCATTTTAGACAAAGGTTTTTTGGGGTTCTAATGCTCAGCTCCATGTATGAGCTGTAGGGTGGATTAAAGCATTTTTAACAATTTGTTCCCTTTATCTACATTTACTAATTCTCCAAAGTTCATTCTAGCAAAGATTAAAAGCTTTTACTTTCCAAATCAATTTCCAATTTACTCTGAACCGATTTGTGGTTCCTGCAGACCTTTCCAGGCAGACTGGCTCTGAATGCCTGCACCTCAGTACTGAGACCAGAGAAGAGAAGAATTCAAACAGCTGGAAGGAGCCATTACAGCAAACCACGTGACCCAGAGAACATCCTTTCACTCAGAGGCACCAGTGACATCATTTTGGTTTAACAGTAACAACAAAATTTGATTGTTCTCAAGTGGAGAAAAAAATAAAACACATTTGTAGAGTTTAAGAAAAAATTTTCCCATTTTCTGTAATATTTAAATTTTTCAGAACATAACAGCAACATACATAGCATCCCTCAGTCCAATCACTGGACCTGTCAGTCCCAATTACAACGGCCTCTGCCTGCTCTACTTTGGTTCAATGGTGTGACGCTAGTTCAAAGCAAACTAGTCCCCCCGATGACACTGGTTAGCCTCGGACCTATTTAGTCCTACCAGAACCAACCTTGTCAGCTGTGGGGATCATTCTGCTCTTTCTGCAGTTTGCACATTTGACCTATATGTATGTTCGAGTAACTTCTGAGAAACACAGGGAGCTTTGGGGATTAAAGAGAAAATATGAGAGAAGCTTAGATAAGAGGAGACATTTCATAAAACAGGCCGATGAGAAGGAGGAAGGCAGCTTCACTATGACTCAGGAGTACATGGTCAACTGAAGCCACTGGAAGGACAAGAAAACAGCAGAAGATCAGTGAGGAGATGGTGGAAACCAAACCTGTTGTTCCTTTTGAAGTCTATTACCTCCTGAACATTGATCTTGATGGTCCCATTTTTATCCTTGTCCAGGGTTTGGAAGGCACCTGCATAAAAAAACAAAACAATGAAACTCTGAAAGAAAGACAACGTGCCCTGAAGAAGCTCTGACATGCAAACAAACGTACGGCACATGGCATCTAGCCTGACAAGGCAGCCAATGTAGTTGTCAAAATCCATGTTGCCGTTTTCATCACTGTATCTACGGATGATCATCTGGAACAGGTGGTCATTGAGAGGGAAGCCTGCAGATGGGATGGACAGAGATTCCTCCATTACCACAGGAGTAAGGAAAATCAGACATAAAACCGAGGCCACAGAGATCGACTAAGACAAGAATGTTCTGTTTATTATCTCCGCATCAGTGGAGAAACCAAACATAGAGATGAAGCCCTGAAGATTGAGACCATCCCCAAGTGTTGAGTCAGGATGCTCCAGCTTAGCAGCAATAGATCATACTGCTACAAGCAGGATGAGACGTCACTCTGTGCTCCACGAAGGTGGTGGAGCTTAACCAGTACCAGAACACTGCAAGACTACTCCTCAGCTGACCCTTTGAACAATTTCAAAACAAAGCTCAAATATTAATTGGATTCATGGGCTGTGCACCAATATCCACCTAAACATTCTACAGAGCCCTATATAGGCCGCTCTACAGTGCCCTATATTTTAAATGAGTGTCCGGATGTCTAGTGGATGAAAAAGTAGTGGACAAATTTTCCACAACACACGTTGAGAAGTAGTAAAAATCCATGGTCACTAGACAACCAGATATATCCCAGAATGCTTTGAGAGGAGGGCTCTACTAATGCACATTTCCTTCTTTGTGTACACAATCTGAGAAACATCCCTCCTCAGATTTGAAGCGGGTAATCAAAATGATCAACCGACTATCAACAGATTGCTGAAAAACTCCTAGAAAGAAACTACTTTACGCTCTTTTAAACAACTGTGTTTGCTACTTTCTTGTGTGGTGGATAAATATTTGCACTGTGCTGCACAGGCGCCCCCAAAAGGTACAGAAGTTTTTTTACAGGTAGCTGATTTTTCGGCGTGGATTGCACTTGCGTCAAGCGTATCCCAACATTATGCCTCCATAATTCCAAGGTCTTTTTTCCTAATAGCTCAGGCTTTCTACTCCTGCCTGTCACAGTCTTGCTTTTATCTGTGCGTTTTATTGGTTTGTTTCCTACTTTGTTTCTAGATTTATTTTAATTCTCAGGTTTTTCTGTTGTTTTCCTGTTGCCCTCTTGTGTGTGCATTTACCTTTCCCCTTGGCTTCCTTGTTGCCTCCACTCACACCTGCTCCTAATCTCCTAGTCTCATTCAGCTATATATAGGCTCTGTACAAAAACCTAGGACGCATCCTTAGAAGACCGGATTCGAAGGCCGATTACGTCATAGCGCAGCACCGAGGTCTAGTCGGATTCCAAGAGTGCTCGTTATGCGGCCTTAAAATGCGTCCTTCTTTTTGCCCGATTTGAAGGATGGGTCTGATGTATCCTCGGTGTTCTTGGATATCCCAGGATTCATTGCGAGACCAAGCAAGCTGTGGTCAGAGGAAAGGTTACTTGGCGCCGAACAGTGGTGAAAATTGGAAGTTCTTTTTATTGCTGTTTTGCACAATATGCTTAACTACGTATTTTTTGTTGTTGAATATTAGAGAT